TTTGGACGGACAAGTGCCAGGCCCCGCGTCAGCATGCTCCAGGCTTCTACCATGGGCACGTATGTGCTGAAGCGGAGAGGCGAGTCTTTCGGCTTCAAAAGACTCGCCTGTGTCAGGGTCATAAGGCGCAGTAGGCGTGTGAAAACCAAAGCAGTTGCGCTGTGATTTGCGGACGTCCATCAGGACTCCCAACTATGTCGAGGTCACAGACTATATGTTGAAGCTATAGTTATTTCCACTGCGCGTAATAATAATACACAGTAAAAAAAAAAATCAAACTGAATGAAAACATAAAGAGTAGCCTATATTAGACAATTCAAGTAATTTCTACTATGTTCAATAGTTCTATGCACTGTAAAAAGCTATAACAAAAGCAGAGATTAAGTAGCCTATGTTGGACATTAAATACTTTCTTTTTTGAGGGGATTAATACATTTTGCTTCGTCCAATCCCTTTTTAAACAAAATCAAGGGAAAATTAGACCTGGGAAAAATATGCGATTAATTGCAATTAATCGCAATTAATCGCAGGTTAACGATGACATTAATGCAATTACGGTAACCGCAATCACATATTTTAATCGTTTGACAACACTCATATTAATACTAGTATGTTAAAGAAAGGAAAGGGTTACGGTGTCTAATCCTACTTTTTGTAGTTGGGAAATAAAAAGCCCCACCTTTAACTAAAAGTCATCCCTATAGACAACAAGCCATGCACTAGCAACACGTCATCCCAGTTTTTCCTATTGTTGTGGTCATTGAAACTGGACTATGGTCTCCACAGTCCGGGCTAGAAGCATGTGTGCTTTAGCCGTCTAGACAGGGGCCGAGTGCCACTTTAACCTGTATGTAATGAGGGCATGCTGCAACATTGTTAGGGAATAAAGCTTGTTACTTTACGTCCAGGCACACACCAAAACCCACCCAAATGCTCACATACACACCCGAGCCTTGTGCACATTTCCTCCAAACAAGGCTGACCTAACACCAGGTCGGGGTTGGCCAAGACCATTGACTCCAATTTCATCTGGCCCGTAGCTCAAACATAGGTGAGCTTGTTTTTTCTCCCTTTGGTAACACTACAAACTAATAGCAGCAACTTCTGTGTGCAAAGTTGAAAAACATGACTTGAAAGCTAATGAGAAACACATAAGGCTCCATATAGTTGGACTTTATAGGAGATTTTTTCATCAAAGTCATTTATTAAAAAGGACCGAGCGACTTTAATCATATGGTAACAATTAAAAGTGTATTAAACTGAAGATTAACTACATAATGGCTGGGCCCTTAATGGGACTGTGTTACTTTGATTCAGGAGAATAATCGCTGTCTGCTGAAATGAAACACAGGTAATAATTTACAACCAGGTTAAAGCAGATTTATAGGCCGGGGTAAAATAAACATCCACTTTGCCACAAGATTGTATGACTTATTATAGTTCACCCATTCAAGATAAAATCTACATTGGAATGTATTAGATTTACATTTAAGGTATATCCTAGAAGTAAACGTTTGCAAGATGCAGTTGAAAGTGGTGTCATATATTTGTGGTGGGGGACAGTCACTTACAACATAATGTGTAAAGCAATGTAGTGGTTTTACAGTGAGACTTCCAGTTTTTGTGCAGACCTATTCAATCTGATTTAGTCTTATTGGCCTGTGTATATGGTGTTGGGGCCAGCCCAGTTCAATCAAACTTAGTACACAAGGCCAATATGACCTGTATAACTTATAATAGACAAAAATGAAGGACAATTTCATCAATTTAATAAAAAATACGTTGGCCCGCAGTACAATACATATTCATTTTGACCCATCAATAGAAAAAGTTTCTCCCTCCCTGATCACCACGTTTGTTTTGACGACTACTGTACATAACATATTGTATATCATCAATGCAAAATGTTATTATTTGTTCCAAAAGAATATATGCTTGTTAAAGTTCACCTGCGTCCGCATTGAAAATTGCGACAGTGTAGTTCAGAACCACACCCTGGTGGTGGCTCAATAAAGCAACTGGTCTGATTTGTGCACCTAGATCAAACTCCAGTGACATGTACCCAGCCCCCGACACCCTCATACAAGCATGCAAACACTCCATCAGCACGAAGGGGCTTCATCTCCTGCTCCCCATATCTCTCTCTCTCCTCCAGACAGTGATTCTATGTTCCGTGTCGCCACCCTGTCTTGTCACATTTCCTTCTTGTCTGCCACGCTGTCTCTCTTTCTTCTCATCCTCTTTCTTTTGTACTCCTTCTATACCTATCCACTCTCTCCCCATCTCCTCCCATCCCTCCATTTAATCAATAAGCACTGGCACTTCCTTCCACAGCTCAGGAAAAAAACAATTAAAAGTCATCGATTCCAGAGTACACATACACATAGAGCATGGAACACACACACACACACAAGGTGGCATGAATATGCAAGTGGCTCTCCTTGACCTTCAAAGACAGGGGGAGAGCAGGTGACTTCATTCTTCATGGGGCTGCCAAAAGAAATGTCTACTCCGCACTCGCATTCACAACCACACAAACACAACATGTAAGGTGCACATGTATTGACAGCAGAAGCCTAGTGTGTGAGGGGACAAGCTTAAACAGGCCTGCCAGTGCTGAGATAAAAGAGCTGAGTCCAGTGCATCTCATTGTAGCAAGTCAAAATGCAATGGATAAAATTTAAAAGAGTTGTAAAAAATACAATCAAAATACAGTTTAGCTTAATTGATTGTTTTTTGTTGAGTTAACTCTTCGTAGTCTTAGTGAAGGAAGTATGTTGTATGCAAAATAGGGCTGTAACAAGTGAATCCATTAATTGCAACAAATTGATTAATGAAATAGTTTTAATAATATATCAACTGTTTTTAGACCTTGCATAGACCAAAACATGCTTAGAACAGTTGTTTTGATTGATATTTTTTTTTCAACATAAAATAGTGCAAACAAAAGCACACAAACACACTAAAACAATATCAAACCTTAACAAAAACCTGTCCCAGACCAAATGTTCTAAAATCAATTAATTGACTCACTGTAGGTAAATTATGAAGACATACACTTAAATTTCTTATTTAAAAAAATTAAAACAATAAAAATAAGATTCAAAATAAAAAGAAATGGGTATTATAGTAAAACAATATTTAAATTTCTGGATTACTCTGCTTTAAAACAGTTTTATTTTTAGCTGCCAGATTCCAGGACACGTTATGGAAAAAATAAATAGACAAAGCAGCACTGACGACACTAGACATCTCAGAGGTATTTGAAGAGAGATTCGGAGTAATGTAGAGGAGCAGCAGTCACACTCTGACTGTTGCTCAATGAGGGAGGGGCCAATAACGCCAGCTCTAATCTGTGTCCACTCAGCCCTGACACACACGCCACCACATCTGCAGCAGCGACACACTTCAGCTTTATGAGAAATACTCCCTCTGTCTCTGCTCTGCTCTTTGACACCTGGGTTAGAAATGACATTGTGCTGTTGTTGAGGGCGATGTGTCAGTAAGCCAGGTGTTCCTCAGGCTTCGCTGCTTTTCTTTTGGTTTGTGGACTTTGATAAATGGAAAAGAGCCACACACACCTGATAAATGGTTGAGGAGTGATGGATTGACTGCTGTTCCACTGCACCTTAGGCGTGCGCTCTGGTTGGACAGGCCTCCGTTTGTCTGTGGACATTGTGTGCGTTTGATTTGTTCTGTTCAGATTGAGATGGGTGCCTTCACTATTGTTCGGCTTCTCATTTTGCTACATTGTAAAATATGCTTTCGTTTTCATGTTTGTGAAAGTATTTTTCCCGAACAAGATTGGCAATTCTGCTGTAAAAAAAAAAGACAATTCCGATATTCCATATTTCCCCCGGATGAGCTGTAGGAAGTGTGAGAGGGTAGGAAGTTCTGGATGTCCTTGCTGCTGCCCCTGCGCCTTTCTTCTGCTTTGTCAGCAACAAATAAACCAGAAGAAACTTGGTGTATGGATGAATGGGCATTTCACAACAACCTTTATAAAGCACCAAGTAATCTAAAAAAATAATATTTAAAAGATATTTCAGTGGATGCTGAGGTGCCTCTCTCCAGGTGAGACAAAGCTTTTTACACCTGCATACTGTGTCCACAGGTGCAAGAGTACATTATAAAGTAAATAAAATATTGTATTGTTTACAATCAGGTACCACTATAGAATAATCATATTGACACAAAATAAGGTCTAATAAATGTAAAAACTACTGAGCAATGGAATCTTAAATATCAGCAATGCTAAGGGATGGAAGTCAACTTGCAGATCTTAAAATATCCCTTCAAAGTTAGAAAAACAAGTATCCACGCTGCAATCCTCTGTGGTGCATGAGATAATTTCCTGTTTCTGTCAATCATACACATCAACATGGTTGCATGGTCGATTGATTCTTAGTCGTCTGAACATAATCTTGAGGCAATTACCCAATTAGCTTTGAGGCTATGCAACGTACAGCCTAGCCAGTGTGTGAGTGTTTGTGCCTGCACCAAGAGCCAACACAGTACGATGGAGTGGAGTGTCTCATATGATTCCTACGCCATGAGTTGAAATATTAGTAACAGGTGGCTAACTGGTTCCCTTGGGCTCTGTATACTCCACACAAAGATCTGTGCCAATTTAGATGGATTCATAATTAGTATACTGGTTTCCGTGGTCGAGTACATGCAAGTGTTTAATTGCCATGGTGTTAATTAAACTGGTTAATGTCGGGACGTGATGGCTTTACTGTCTTATGTACTAGCCCTGTTCATTAGCCCATGCGGTTTCTGGGCTCGCACACTCTTAGTTTATAAGCTGTTTTATGTTCGCAGGCTGGATTAGTACATCACTGTCTGTTCCTCGTCCATAAAGTGGCAGACGAGCATGTCTCTTTCACCAAAGTCAATTTTACTGCTCAGCGTCGCAGCTCCCAAACTGACAAATCAATAAAATCAGAGGGAGTTAAATAATTTAGCGCTGCTTCTAATTAGTCTTCTAGTCCTCCAGTATGGATTCCACTACAATATTGATGACGGACGGCCTGTTTACAGAGGGCTTTGTCACTCTCGACCTCCAGTGTGTTACCAGAAAAATTACAGCTATGTGGCATTATCAAACAGATTCTAAATTTGAGGTTAATCCTGGCAGCAAATTGCGTTTCTGATATTAAAAGATTTAAAGCTTTGTCCACACTATTGTGATTCCAACCATTTGTCTTGATCCCAGGTCACAATTGGATTTGATAGGAATGTGTTAATATATTATTTATTTAGTCTTAAGATAGCTGGTTGGGACGATATTTCTCACATTGTAGGCCCTTTTCTCTTCCCAATACATCTTGAGTCGTCTTTATTAATATCTGAACTTTTTTTCTGTATAATTGCAGTGATCACAGAATATATATATAAAAAAATTGTCCACTCACCTTTGGCCCTCCGCGGGCGGTTATCCCTCTCTAAGCTTGGGTCCTCTACCAGAGGCCTGGGAGCTTGAGGGTTCTGCGCAGTATCTTTGCTGTTCCTAGCACTGCACATTTCTGGACCGAGATGTCCGAGGTTGTTCCGGGGATCCGCTGTAACCACTCTTCTAGCTTCGGGGTCACTGCCCCGAGTGCACCGATCACCACGGGAACTACTGTCACCTTTACCCTCCAGGCCCTCTCCAGCTCCTCTCTGAGACCTTGGTATTTCTCAAGCTTTTCATGTTCTTTTTTCCGGATGTTACCATCGCTTGGAATTGCCACGTCCACCACCGCTGTCCACTGCCCTTTGTCCACCACCACGATGTCAGGTTGGTTCGCCATTACCATTCGGTCGGTCTGTATCTGGAAGTCCCACAGGATCTTTGCACGCTCATTCTCCACCACCTTTGGAGGAGTTTCCCACTTAGACCTTGGGGTTTCCAGCCCATACTCTGCACAGATGTTTCTGTACACTATGCCAGCCACTTGGTTATGGCGTTCCATGTAGGCCTTCCCTGCCAGCATCTTGCACCCTGCAGTTATGTGTTGGATCGTCTCAGGTGCCTCTTTGCACAACCGACACCTTGGGTCTTGTCTGGTGTGGTATATCTGGGCCTCTATCGCTCTGGTGCTCAGTGCCTGTTCCTGTGCAGCCATGATGAGTGCCTCTGTGCTGTCCTGTAGGCCACCCCTTTCTAGCCATTGGTAGGACTTCTTGAGATCAGCCACTTCTGTTATGCTCCGGTGGTACATGCTGTGTAGGGGCTTGTTCTCCCATGATGGGCTCTCCTCCAGCACCTCCTCATCTCGCCACTGCCTGAGACATTCACTGAGTACGTCATCCGTTTTGGCCTTCTCCATGATGTAGTTATGGAGTTTGGATGTTTCGTCCTGGACAGTGGCTCTCACACTCAATAGTCCTCGGCCTCCTTCTTTACGGCTTACGTACAGTCTCAGGGTGCTGGATTTGGGATGGAACCCGCCATGCATGGTAAGGAGCTTTCGAGTTTTAACATCCGTGGTCTGAATCGCCACCTGCTTATTCCTGCAGGGTATCTGATCACTGGCAGGGCGTAGCTGTTAATTGCCCGGGCCTTGTTCTTGCCATTGAGCCGGCTTCTTAGGACCTGCCTTACTCGCTGGAGGTATTTGGCAGTTGCCGCTTTCCTCGTCACCTGTTCGAGGTTGCCATTTGCCTGTGGTATACCGAGATACTTGTAACTGTCCTCAGCGTCTGCTATTGTTCCCTCTGGGAGTGAGATCCCTTCTGTGTGGACTACCTTGCCTCTCCGAGTCACCATCCTGCTACATTTCTCGAGTCCGAATGACATCCCGATGTCATGGCTGTAGATCCTGGTTGTTTGGATCAGAGAGTCGGTGTCTCTCTCGCTCTTGGCGCACAGCTTGATGTCATCCATGTAGAGGAGGTGACTGATCTTTGCTCCGTTCTTGAGGCGGTATCCATAGCCAGTCTGGTCAATTACTTGGCTTAGAGGGTTGAGGCCTATGCAGAACAGTAGTGGGGACAGAGCATCTCCTTGGTAGATACCACATTTGATGGTCACTTGTGCGAGCGGCTTGCCATTTGCCTCAAGGGTGGTCTTCCACATTCCCATCGAGTTTGCAACGAAGTCCCTTAGAGCCCTATTGATATTGTACAACTTCAAGCATTCCATGATCCATGTGTGTGGCATTGAGTCGTAGGCTTTCTGGTAATCAATCCAGGCTGTGCACAGGCAAAAATGAATCTGCATAGCTCCCCCTCTCCTTCCCACTTTCCTTACTTTTGGCTTACTTATTTTTATTTTTTCTGTAACTGGTGCTATAATACAGCTGGATGAAGCTAGTGCCCACTTAGAACGTGAGACAAGCCGTGTTTTTTCACCGTTTTCCTCATCATAAAGTTTGGATTATACCTGTGCCCACGCGCTCCCATTGTTTACACCTGGGACCAGCTGCTGGTGCTGCGGAGAGCGGAGGTCCCTCCGAACACCCAGAGGCTGCCGCACGGGATGAAAGGTACGAGGACAAAAGAGATCCAGACCCGCGGTACCCGCCGTGATCACCGGTAATGTCCCTCTCCAATAAGACTACCAGCCATGGCTACCAGCGGGAGTACCGTGACGCCAGCCTTTTTATTATTATTAGTATTTACAGAAACATGGCTACACAGAAATAAAAAATATACGATTAAAATGCCTAAATTTTTTTAACGCGTTAATTTTTGTGTAAATAATTAATCTTAAATAACGCGTTAAAGTCCCGGCCCTAATATATATATACATGTATATATATATATATAAATATAGAGCAATTTGTTGCAACGAATTGATTCACTTGTTACAGCCCTAGAGCAATAGCGGCCCAGATATACCACACCAGACAAGACCCAAGGTGACGGTTGTGCAAAGAGGCACCTGAGACAATCCAACACATAACTGCAGGGTGCAAGATGCTGGCAGGGAAGGCCTACATGGAACGCCATAACCAAGTGGCTGGCATAGTGTACAGAAACATCTGTGCAGAGTATGGGCTGGAAACCCCAAGGTCTAAGTGGGAAACTCCTCCAAAGGTGGTGGAGAATGAGCGTGCAAAGATCCTGTGGGACTTCCAGATACAGACCGACCGAATGGTAATGGCGAACCAACCTGACATCGTGGTGGTAGACAAAGGGCAGATGAAAGCCGTGATGGTGGACGTGGCAATTCCAGGCGATGGTAACATCAGGAAAAAAGAACACGAAAAGTTTGAGAATTACCAAGGGCTCAGAGAGGAGCTGGAGAGGGCCTGGAGGGTGAAGGTGACAATAGTGCCCGTGGTGATCGGTGCACTCGGGGCAGTGACCCCGAAGCTAGAAGAGTGGTTACAGTGGATCCCTGGAACAACCTCGGACATCTCAGCCCAGAAATGTGTAGCGCCAGGAACAGCAAAGATACAGTGCAGAACCCTCAAGCTCCCAGGCCTCTGGTAGTGGACCCGAGCTTAGAGAGGGCTAACCGCCCTCGGAAGGCCAAAGGTGAGTGGACTATTTTTTTTTTTAGGGTGCTACTTTGAACCGAGAATATAACACATATTTTCAGTTGGTTCATACTTTTTCTTTTAGGTATGTACATAATTCAGTTTTGATGCCTTCAGTGTGAATCTACAGTGTTCATAGTCATGAAAAAAAATAACAAATCCAAACTTTTGGTCTGTACTGTACATACATATATCCTTTGATGAGCACTTACACTTTCAACATGTCTTTTGTCCTATTGGATTTATTTAATTGATTTTGACATGACAAGCTATAATCAATCATGATCAAATATTTATCTGGTGTGTGTGTGTGTGTGTGTGTGTGTGTGTGTGTGTGTTTGTTTTCTGGTTTACGAGGCCGATTTTCAAGACTTTTCTCCGAGTAAGGAGGACCCTCCGGTTTAGGAGGACATTTTGCTGTCCTCATAAAAATTACATTCTAAATCGTTTTCTATGCATTTTTTAATGCCTAAAAAGTGGTTTTCTCAAAAGTCTTTTTAAACCAGAAACCTGAGAAAAGTAGTAAATCTGTGTGTCCGCCACTGCCCCTAGTGGTCGTTTTCTCCCGCGCGGGAAATGATGGAATATACACACAAACGCGGGAAATTATACACATTGGCGGGAGCGACACACAAAGTCATTACTGCGCATGCTCCGTGTGGGGAAGTGGAGGAGAGCGTCTTTCGCCAGTCAAGGCTGCTTCAACACTTTTCTTCACCCATCCACCCTCAAAGGAGACGGGACCACGAGGAGGGACACGGGACGCACCCGCACACAGGTATGAGAGAGTTTTCACTGGTCAACAGATGTAGTTTAGCACAAAGGAGCCGCTGGTAGAAGAGCATAACGTAGCTGCGGGGGTCGGCAGCCTAGTTAAGCTGCGGGCTACGTAGCCATTTGCACGATTTATTAATTCTGTCACGTTTAGGTTCGGCAAATCTGCAGTAAATATACTGTCGACAGAGCAAACGGGACCGTAGTGACATACCCACTACAGGAAGATGAACATTAGCTAGCTATTTGCGGAGCTAAGTGGCTAACACACATGTGTGCTGCAGCTGCTTGATAATATAGTCAAAGTTACAATATAGATGCATTTTGCGTGCTGAGGCCATACTTGGAACAAATATATTAGGTAGTTTCCTAATGGAGAGGTGAGTAATAAAATCAGTCTGTGATAATTAGTAGAATATTTTATAGGAGCAGGCTACTTGATAAAATGATAATACTAAATGATAAGATTATTAGAAATAAGACATCTGCTGTATGTATTATGATTTTATGTTCAAGCAAAATTCAAGCATTGTCTATATAGAATTTTCCTTTTAATACGCAGCCCTTCTGCGTTGTGAGTGACTTGACACAATTAAAATACTATTGCAGTAAGTTCGTATGTATTTGAGAGCTGAATGGATGTAGAACAAGTCTTGGACCAGAATGTACATGTTTAATCTGTACACACATTGAATATCTGTTTGTTTCATAACAATAATATAACTGTATTCTTAATAAAAGTAAAATATTAGATATATCGCTTTCCTTTCAAGCTCTATAGACATTGGGATGTCCCCTAGCAATGGGACTACTTTATATAACTATAGTTAGCTGTTATTCCAGTGTCACATTTACAGATGTTTAATATTTTTAGAATATGAGCAGAATATATTATAGTTTATGGGTAAGGTGCAGTCCATTATAGTCTTCTATTGGAATCAGAACATTCATGGAGCGATGATTTAGAACTCCAAAAACCCTAACAACGGTCCTTGAAACCATGGGTGTGGACCCATGGTTTCTCCCAAAAGGCATCAGAGGGAAACATGAGTACATAGCCATGTAGGTGAAATGCACTGTTTCACTGTTGATGTTGATGAACTGAACTTCACATTAAAAAAGTTAATGTCATGATTACTTGAAATAGTTTTGATTTATGGTTTCTGAAAAACCATGAGATGAAAAGTAATGTTATTTTTAAAATGTTTGTTCTTAATTTCTCTTAAAGTCATGCCACAGAGAACTACTCCCCTTCAGGATGCCACAAAGCATATCCTTGAAGGAAGAGACAAGACTGCTATGTTAGAAGTAAAACATATTAATCCAGTCAAAGGTAAGTCACTGACACTAATATAATCACTGGTTCAGTTGTATCAATGGTTTGCTGCCCTTGTGTCTTTAATAAGCCTGTGTCTTCAGGTCGTGGTATTTTCTCTACCACTGTTTTCAGTCAAGGAGACTTTGTTGTGGAGTATAGGGGGGTACTTGTTGATTCAGCTGAACAGAGACGTAAACAGAACCAGAGTGAATGTTCAGTCTTCATGTTCGACTTCACATGGAAGCGGAGGATTTGGAGGTAGGTTCAGTGTGACTGTTTTCGTCTCTGTGGTGAGTGTAGCTGCCTAGTGTAGCTGCCTAGCCTAAAGTACATTTTGAACATGTGTCTCTATAAATGTGTTTAGTGCATGATGTTTGTATTTTTAATGTGCAGTATTGATGGCGGAGAGGAAGACGGATCTTTTGGACGATTAGTCAATGACGAGCATAAGTTGCCCAACTGCCGAATGAAGTTGATTGAGGTGAAAGGCAAACCACATCTTTGCCTTTTTGCCCTGAAGGAGATCAAAGCAGGAACTGAAATAAATTACGACTATGGTGGGACATCATGGCCCTGGCGTGAAGAGGTGGGTCATTTAGTGTTTTTTTTCCCCCTATAAATTGATGCCCAGGTTTACAATAATTATCTATATTTTTGACTTGATAACAATGATATTCTAGTTTTCTAATTTCACTATTTTGCAGATTCCCCTTACTGTTACAACCAGTGCTGCACAAGGGTCTAGTCAAGACTGTATCCAAGACAAAATTCAGCCATTGGCAGTCCTTATTGATGGTCAGAGGACTTTTTGTTGTTTTTTGGCAATAGTGTACTGGAGATGACTGAGAGATGTTGATACCACATATAGCCTTGTTTATTATTTTCTCTTTTTTTTTTTTACAGAGACCAGAGAGAGACCAGACGTATCTGACTGCAATAGGACATCAGGCAGTCCTGCTTGTGAGGTTAGGTTAATTATGGTTGTTTGTCAAAGCAATGATTAACAGTTTTAAAATAGCTGAGGAAAGAAGCAGGTCAAAGCATCATCACATACCCCTGGTATAGTTTTATTAAATGAGGGGGTGACAAAATGCCTCGAATTACTAAAAAAATCATTAATCCTCAAATTATTTGACTGCCTAACCTTTATTACTAATGTACAAAATGAAGCCAGTAAAATTGATATTATGGGTATTTTACAACGCAATGGTCAATGGCAATACACTGAATTGACAATAGTGTAGATTTTACTGTTTTTACATTACTGTAGGGACTGTGTACAGATGTTACGGCCACTGACGGGCCGTATATCCTCCTCTCTCAGGTGGAAGCTGTGCTCATTGGTGTGCGTGCGTGACACACGGAGCCGCGCCTTTAAAGCTCGTGCACATGCCAGAGATTGCGGTTGGCTCATCCTGCTCCCATCTTGACACCTGCGTGTCCCGCCTCTCTTTGTATGGTTTGGTTTGGTTTGGTTGCTTGGTTCGTCTTGGTTCGTTTTGGTTTATTTTCTACACACCATTCAACATTGCAGAAATACGCTCACGGCACATACACTTACACGCACTCATTACAGACTTCCACACCTCATAAAAATATTAACTTTGCTTATTAATAAATATTATTTCAATTGGCAACTGTTTGGCGTGTTTCTGTCATTTCTATTGAGCCGGGTAATGACAGAAACACGCCAAACAACAGTTGCCAATTGAAATAATATTTATTAATAAGCAAAGTTAATATTTTAATGAGGTGTGGAAGTCTGTAATGAGTGCGTGTATGTGCCGTGAGCGTATTTCTGCAGTGTTGAATGGTGTGTAGAAAATAAACCAAAACGAACCAAGCCAACCCAAACATACAAAAAGAGGCGGGACACGCAGGTGTCAAGATGGGAGCAGGATGAGCCAACCGCAATCTCTGGCATGTGGAGCTTTAAAGGCGCGGCTCCGTGTGTCACGCACGCACACCAATGAGCACAGCTTCCACCTGAGAGAGGAGGATATACGGCCCGTCAGTGGCCGTAACACAGACACAGGAAGCTCGCTACATAGATGGCTTCCATTTGCAGTCCCCAATGTCACATTTTTTGGATTTGTTTCTCACACAGCTTAGCAGTGTAAGCAACATTGCCGGACCAACACTTTGCAGCGCTTGATGACCAGGCCAATGACTTAGATCCTGCAGACTTAGCAAGAGGTTCTTCCTTACTTATATTAGAAAACACTAACTATATTGGTAAACTACTTGCAAAGCACTGTGCCTTCATGTGTTGTCCTCAACAGATGCTGAACTGAAAGAAGCGTGTCAGTTTAGTGCGAACACAAGACTGCTCTGTGTATCAGGTTAGTTCTGTTGCTTATCTTGGGATGTATGAATGTTAAGAAGTTTTTTGTAAGGGAAATATCAATGAATTCCAATTTATATATGTACGGTCTGCGGCCATGTCCACACGTAGCCGGGTATTTTTAAAACCGAATATTTCCCCGCTCCGATTTTTTTAAAAATAATTTACATCCACACATAACCGAACATCTGCATTTTCAATCTCTGACGTCCTGCGTCGGGGGAAAACACTGCATCAAACCTCTGCGTCGCTTCTGATGCCGGTGCTTCTGTAGCGACACTTTAACAGTCACAAGAAGCTCTAGGTAAAGGCATATGTTCACAAGCGTAGGTACTGACCCCGTCCTTCATCCTGGTTTAGCTCCTGGTGTTAAGCTCCTGGTTTGGGTTGTTTTAGGCGCGTGCGTGAACATCTTGCTGCTTCTCTGATGTGAAGTGAGGATCCTGCTGTACACTTTTTTAAGGCAGTATGATCCAATGCTTCAGTGATCAGAGGTCGCATGTGGTTGTTTGTTGTTGTTTTGGGGCCGTACGTGATCGTGCGAAAACGCAAAACTCCGGTTATATCCTGTCTACACGCAAAATGCATAAAACATTTTTCAAAATTTCTCCACTTTGCCCGGAAGTTTCTTTATATATTCGTTTATGATTCGTTGTCTATGTGGATGACAGGTGCAAACGAGACAAATATCTGTGGTTTAGCAGAGACTCCGGGTGGACATGGCCTGCACCTCTTACCCTAGCTGCATCATTTTGAGTGTCATAAACTTACAATTGAGCGAGGGTGTGCGTGTGCCTAATGTGAATTGGTAACAAAGTCAGATCTTGGTTACACTTTGTGGCTGTACAGGTCATAATAAACTAATTTTACTGAGGGAAACGAGTACAAGACACATATTTATGTATGTATATGCCAGGGAGTGCACATACTTTTTCAGTGAGGTACTCAGATGAGTACCAAGAACATGGTGTTGGTACTCACTCAATTTGTCGCGCGGTTCTTAATAAAAAAGTTATACTTGCTTCTTTTTAATGCTAAAGTTTAGATCATCTCAGAATAATCCACTCAATCCACAGTCAAATAACCCATTAACGAGCCTGACACAGCTGATAAAACAGACCTGTAAAACCTATGGGCGAGTTCAGAACTACCTCCAAAACCTGAGGTTTTCCTGAAATTCAACGTCTACAGAATGATTGATATCTCGGCCCTCTGGAGCAGATAGAAACATAATTCAAAATAATGAGAGCTGACACATAATAATAATAACATGATTATACAACTACAAAAATGTGAGACTAACACATGTTTCTCAAAGCAATAAGTCAAAAAGAGTTTCGAAATAAAGTGGCACTATGTGGAAAAAAATATTAAAAAATCCACTCTCGGCCCAAAAAGTCAAATAATGACCTCACAGGGCTCTTCCTTTACTAAGTACAAAATAGAAAAACAAGACTGTTTTGATTTGATTTGGTCATAACATTTTACCTTTTGTGCTCAAATAACATGCATTTTCACTGCAAGCGAAATGTAAGTACCTGAGCTTTAATTCAGTGAGGTTTTGACTGCGCTTCGCGTGGAGACGTGGGAGAGGCATGGAGGAGAGAAGGGGAAAGAGACGGGGGAGACAGGCAAGACACGCACGTGTGTAGGCTTCTGTATGCGCGTGTTTATGGTCCGCGCTCGGTACATGACCACGATCTTATGGTCCGCGCCTCGGTACATGACCACGTCTATGGTCCGCTCATCTGTACATGACCACGTCTATGGTCCGCGCTCGGTAACATGACCACGGCGCGTCTATGGTCCGCGCTCGGTACATGACCACGTCTATGTTCCGCGCTCTGTAACTTGACCACGTCTTATAGGTCCGGCTCCATGACCACGTCTAGGTCCGCGCTCTGTACATGAACCACGCGCGTCTATGGTCCGCGCTCGGTAACAATACCACGTCTAATGGTCCGACGCTCGTACAGACGTCTATGTCACCGCTCGGGAACATGACCACGTCTATGGTCCGCTGCTCGGTACATGACCACCCACGCGCGTCTATGGTCCGCGCTCGGTACATGACCACCGCGTCTATGGTCCGCGCATCGGTACATGACCACGCGCGTCAATGGTCCGCGCTCGGTACATGAACCCGCGCGTCTATGTCGAGCTCGTACATGAAAACCACGCCGTTCTATGGTCCGCGCTCGGTACCATGACCACGCGCTCTATGGTCCGCGCTCGTACAATGACCACGCGCGTCTTTTATTATTTTTTTTTGTGGTGTGTGGTTTTTTTTTCTATGGTCCGCGCTTCGGTACACCATACACGTCCCCTATGGACCGCGCTCGGTACATGACACCGTCTATGGTCCGCGCTCTGTACATGACCCCGTCTATGTCCGCGAGCTCTGTAACATGACCACGCGCGTCTATGGGTCCGCGCTCGGTCCATGACCACGTCCATGGTCCGCGCTCGGTACATGACCACGTCTAAGGTCCGGCGCCTCTGTACATGAACCACGTCTAATGGTCCGCCAGCCTGTAACCTGACCACGTCTATGGTCCGCGCTCTGTACATGACCCCGTCTATGGGCCGCGCTCGTACATGACACGCCGACTATAGTCCGCGCTCGTACATGACACGCGCTCTATGGTCCGCGCTCGGTAAACATGATCGCACGCGCGTCCTATGGTCCGCGCTCCGTACATGACCACGCGCGTCTATTGGTCCGCGCTCGGTACATGACCACGCGCGTCTATGGTCCGCGCTCCGGTACATGACCACGGCGCGTCTATGGTCCGGCCTCGGTACCTGACCACGCGCGTCTATGGTCCGCGGCTACCGGTACATGAACACGCGCTGTCTATGGTCCGCGCGCTCGGACGAACCTGACCACGCGCGTCTATGTCCGCGCTCGGACATGACCACGCTCGTCTATGGTCCGCGCCTCGTACATGAACCACGCGCGTCCTATGGTACCGCGCTCTGTACATGACCAACAGCGCGTCTATGGTCCTCGCTCGTAACAGACCACACGCGCGTCTATGGTCCGCGCTCCGGTACACTGACCACGCGCGTCTATGGTCTGCTCTCGCTACATGACCACGTCTATGGTCCGCCGCTCTGTACATGACGCACACGCGCGTCTATGGTTTTTCCGCGGCCTGTACATGACCCACCTACGCGTCTATGGTCCCGATCCTGTACATACACGCGCGCCTATGGGTCCGCGCATCCTGTACATACCACGCGCGTCCTATGGTCCGCGCTCTGTACATGACCAAAACACGCGCGTACTAGGTCCGCGCCGCTCTGTACATGACCACGCCAGTCTATGTCCGCGCTCGGTACATGACCACGCGCGCTTATGTCGCGCTCTGTGTACATGACCACGTCTATGGTCCCGCGCTCTGGTACATTGACCACGTCTATGGTCCGGCGGCTCTGTACATGACCACGTCTATGGTCCCGCTCGGTACATGACCACGTCTATGGTCCGCGCGCGGTACATTGACCACCGCGCGTCCTATGTCCCCCGCTCGTACATGACCACGCGCCGACTAATGGTCCGCGCTCGATACATGACCACGGCGCGTCTATGGTCCGCGCTCGTACATGACCACGCGCCGTCTATGGTCGCGCCGGTACACTGACCCACGGCGCGTCCTATGTCCCGCCGCTCGTACATGACCACGCGCAGTCTATGGTCCGCAGCGTACAGGTACATGACCACGTCTATGGTCCGCGCTCTGTACATGAACCCACCGCGTCTAAGGTCCGCGCTCGGGCGAGTACATACCACGCGCGTGGTCTATGTTCCGCGCTCCGGTACAGAACACGTCTATGGTCCGCCGCTCTGACATGACCAGCCGCGTCTATGGTCCCGCCGCTCTGTACATGACCACGAGCGCGCAATGGTCCGCGCTCTGTACATGACCCACGAACCCCGCGTCTATGGTCCGCGCTCTGTACATGACCACGCGCTCTATGGTCCGCGCTCCGGTACATGACCACTCTATGGTCCGCGCTCGGTAACATGACACGTCTATGGTCCCGCGGCTCGGGTACATGACCAACTAATGTCCAACGCTCGTACAGGACCACACTCGTTTGCTTTGAGTCTGTCAGAGCGCCACTAGTTTCTCCTCCGGGTTCAGAACGGAGGATGTTATTGCAACCAAACGGATCCCAGGGAGGAGCGCCACACTATTTGAGGCCCTAGGAGGTACGCAAATGCGTTTACTAACGCAAGTGAAAGTACGCATTTCTGATGTTGTCACGCAACGCGTACCACTTAATGTGCACCCCTGGTTATAAGATTTGTGTATGTAGGTTATGTATGTATTGTATTTAACTTTACATATTTTCCGTATATGCTCTTCAATCTACAGCATTGTGCAACAAAAAATAGTCTCTTCAGTATTTACGTAAGAACAAACATACAAAGAAAAACCATTATGGTAGAACATTGACAAATGTAAACAATAAAATGCACACCATCGTCCATGAGCTGAGAATTTTTTCAATTTAGGAAAGATTTTCAGGAATAATGACATCACAGGAAATGTTCTGAAAGGAGTTTTTTTGTTTACCTCATTGTATTGATAAATATTTAGTAAAGTAAAACTGTTGACTGGCAAATAAAATATAAATGGTAACTTGTCTGGGTCAGGTTACTGCCAATAAAGACGTGCATGTCTAGAAAAAAATTCGTTCATATTTAATTGGTATTTGTGCATAAAAGATTGTATTTGTGCATAAAAATATTGTATTATTTCATGATTAAGATAATACAAACTAAAAACGACATGGAATTTCGTAATTAAGAAAAAAAAAAAAACTCAGTGTGATTTTGTTTTTGTGAATGTGAATTTTTTTTTTTTTTTTTTTTTGTGCTTGCATTACCTTGATTACAAATTTCAGCAGTGAGAAAACTGTCATATTACGTCACGGCTTCACAGACATTAACAATCGAGCCTGCGCTGAGTTGACAACTTCATTGCCCAAAACTAAACATGGCCAGAAAGGAACACAACATAAATACCTGGCCAAAAATATCAGTCCATAACGACTTTGATCATTTGATCGTAAATAAATGTGTAATTCCATAAAATGTGTTCATAAAATTTCTTGGTCCGTCTCTAGAAAGATTTTTTTTAGGCAGTGTTTAGTTAACAAAACGAGCTTCAATGCTAGTTTTTTACAGCTTACCAATGTTATTTTATTAAAACCAACATTTTTACATTCTTAGCATTTACATTATTTATGAACCTTTGCCCCCGAATCAATGTGTTACTGTGTTGAAACCAGCCCCAACCCAACCAGAATTATTCATAGTTTGGAGCTGTTACTACTCGCCCTGAGGCAATATGAAGAACACCTCCGTGCTATAATTTCATCCTCGATTGTTAGACGTAGCAGACCCTGTCCCAGTGGGCCTCAATCTATATATGTAATTATTTGACACATACTTTTTACTCACTAGTTCATAACGCAGTTAGTCTGTTGTTTAGACTATAATAAAATGCCTTTTCTAGTAGAATAAAACAATATAAGGATAAGAAAATAAAACAGCAATGGAGCTAAACAACAATGCCAAAAAACCTTTAGAGGGACAAGAAACATCTTATGAACACGTTACGGAATTAATATTTCTTTACACATTCATTTCCAACCAAAAATGATGAAATATAGTTATTTTACCTGATTTTGACCACGTTATATATGTTGTGTCCATCTGCCATGTTTAGTTTTTGGGCAATGGAAGTTGATCATACTCTGCGCACCTCAATGTTAATTTCTGCAATTCACAAAAAAAAAAAATCACACATACGTTTTATATTTTATAATCTTATTTACAAAATTTCCATGTCTTTTGTAATGCACGACCATTTTTTTAGACATGCACCGTCTTTATGGACAGTAACTTAACCTTAACCCCATATACTTGCCCAATATAGAAAGAGGCTACCAAGCTTAATGTCAAGGGCCTGCATGACATACCTAAATACACCAACACTGCAATGCATGACATTTGTGCATACATCATGTCTTGTCCTCTTTTTACCTCACTAATTATAGTTCATGGTGTAATTTTACTGTAGTTTTTTTGCTGTACAGGTGTATAGTTCCAAGATTCTGACTTTTTTGCTTTAATTGCATGTTCATTGCGAGTTTACACACAATGAACATGCAATAAAGCAAAAAAGTCAAGTCATGTGACCTGTTGTTATACTCAATGGTGTTAGGACATTATTTTGAGACAGTTTTCATTGACATAAAGACTTGCTTTTAGAGGAATCATTTAACTGTTGTGAAAATGTGAATGACTGGTGTAAGAAATGACCCAAGCCAAGGAAAATACTCCATCCAACCATCCATTTTCTCCGCTTTATTTAAAATTCCGTTGGCCGGGTCGCGGGCGCAGCATCTAAGCAGAGCCGCCCAGACTATCCCATCCACACAGACACTCCCTCCGCCTCCTCCGGGGGGACCCAAAAGGCGTTCCAGCACAGCTGAGAGCATAGTCCCTCCAGCGTGTCCTAGGACTTCCGCGGGGCCTCCTCCCGGTGGGACGTGCCCGGAACACCTCCCCAGGGAGGCGTCCAGGAGGCCTCCCGGAAACGATGCCCAAGCCACCACCCCACCTGGCTCCTCTCAGACGTGGAAAAGCAGCGGCTTACACTCCGATTCCTCCCGTGTGACTGAGCTCCTCACCCTACGTCTCTAAGGGACGCCCAGCCACTCTTCGAGGAAGCACATTTCGACCAGCTTGTATCCGCGATCTCGTTCTTTCGGTATTACCCCAAAGCTCATGACCATAGGTTAGGGAGGGAAGCAAGATTGACCGTAAATCTAAGAGCTTTGCCTTTCGGCTCAGCTCCCCTCTTTACACAACGGTCCATACAGCTCTGACTGCGACCTGCTCCTCTTTACCGCACGACGGTCCGATACCGCGACCGCATCCACTCGCACGCTGCACCGATCCGCCTGTCAATCTCACGCTCCATTCTTCCCTCACCATCGTGAACAAGACCCCGAGATACTTGAACTCCTCCACTTGGAGGAAAGACTCTTCCACCCCACCTGCAGAGGGCAAGGGCACCTTTTTTTTTCCGGTCGAGCAACATGGCCTCGGATTTGAGGTGCTGATTCTCATCCCAGCTGCTTCACACACTCGCTGCAAACCGCCCCAGAGCATGCTGCAGGTCCTGTTCGTTGGAGCACAGGACAACATCGTACCGCAAACAGCAGAGATGAATCCTGGGGTCTCTGAACCGGACCCCCTCCGACCCCTGGCTGCGCCTAGAAATTCTGTCCATAAATACAGTGCACAGAACCGGTGACAAAGGGCAGAGCCCCTGTCGGAGGCCAACATTCACCGGGAACAGGAACTACTTACTGCAGGCAAGGCGAACACAGCTCTGGCCTCCGGTCCGTACAGGGATCGATGGCCTCAGCAGAGACCTCCGACCCCGTACACCCGGAGAACCCCCCAACGGAACACTCCGGGAACACGAGTCGACACCCTTCTCCAAATCCACAAAGCACAGTGGACATTGGGGCGAACTCCCAATGAACCCTCGAGTATCCGATGGAGAGTATAGAGCTGGTCCAGTTGTTCCGCGACCGGACAAAAACCACACTGACTCCTCACCTGGATCCGAGATTCGCCATCGGCCGTAAGCCTTTCCTCTCCAGTAACCTTGGAGTAGACCTTACCGGGGAGCGAGGAGATGTGATCCCACGATAATTGGAACACACCCTCGCGGTCCCCCTTCTTGTAGAGAGGGACCGACCACCCCGGTCTGCCACTCCATTGGCACCCGGCCCCCGATCGCCACGCGATGTTTGCAGAGACGTGGTCAGCCAAGACAGTCCTACAACATCCAGAGACTTTAGGATAATCAGGCAGGATCTCACCACACCCGGAGCCTTGCCACCATGGAGGCTGCCACCCACCATGGTGACCTCAGCCAGGGAGATGGATTGATCCGCACCCAACATCCTCAGCCTCTGCCTCTGAAACAGAGGCACGTGACGGGGGATTGAGAGAACCTCAAGTATCCTTCACCGCCCGACCATATCCCCATCGAGGTCAGCCAGCTCCTCTCCACCCGCACCGTAACATGGTTTGCAAAGAACGCTTCCCCCTCCTGAGTGCCGCCGGATGGTTGCACAGACTCTCTCGTGGCCGCCGATAAGTCATGACCCATGGACTCCCTCAAAGTTCCCCAGCCCAGGGTTTTTTGCTCTGCAAACACCCGGGCGCGCGGCACGCTTTTAGGCCAGCCGGTAATGGACAGCTGCCTCAGAGTCCCACCCCCGAACCGTCATGGCTCTAGGACTCTTCAGCCTGACAGCATCCCTTACTTGCCCTGGTGTCCACCACCGGGTCTTGGGATTGCCGCCGGGAAACCCAGCACCAGAGACCTTGCGACACAGCTTACGAGCCGCCGCATCGGCTATTGGAGGCAGAGAACATGGTCCACTCAGACCCCATGTCCCCCCTCCCTCCCGCCGGGAACCTGGGAGAAACTCCTCCCCGGAGTGTGAAGTTGAAAGTTTCGTCAATACAGGGGGCTCAGAGCGAGACGTTCCCAGCCAGACCCACACAATACCTTGGGGTCTGCCAGGTCTTGACCGCTTCTTTCCCCGCCAGCGGATCCAACTTCACACCCGGTGATGAATCGGTTGACACTCCGCCCCTCTCTTTACCCGAGTGACCGAGAACACGCGGTCAAAGGTCAGATAAAACGACAACACAGTCGATCATCGACCTCACCGGCCTAGGGGTCCTGGTGCCACGTGACACTGGTGGATTACCCTTGTGCACGAACATGGGTTCGTGATGACAAACTGTGACTGGCACAGAAGTCCAACAACTGAACACCGCTCGGGTTCAGATAGGGGGCCCGTTCTTCCCGATCACAACCCCTCTCCACGTGTCAGTCTGGCGTTTCCCCATGGGCGTTGAAGTCCCCCAGGGAGAATAACGGAGGTCCCCGCGCGGTGCACCCGTCCAGTACCCCTCCCAAGGACTCCAAAAGCGGGTACTCAGCACTGCTGT